CCAATTAGACTATAAATAGTTACTCTTTTAAAACTGAATAATTCGTCTGCTTACATCATCTTTGGGATTATATTGTCCATACTTTCTATCTGTAACTCAAAGTCACTGTAAAAAGTATGTTGAGAAATCTCCTAATCTTAAATTAGATTTCCTTTAGCTTAAACACAGCTGAAGAGGGTCCACGAAATAAAATGAGGTTGTATTATCCCGAAAAATAGGTTTGTTCTTTCTTTATTCAAACTAACCTTGTTGTAACATTTTAGGGTGTAATTCTTTGCTGTCTACTAAATTACTTGATTATTCTCAGTTGAATAACACTGAGATAATACTAGATTGCGTTTTGTTCTACGGATGCATCAACGCATGACCATATATTACTGACCACTCCACTACTGTTCTGTCTGTCTGTTTTCGACATAGAACTTTGCACAGATGTGCAGCAGTTCAAGTCACCACACTCCATATAGCACACAAGGCAAGAGAAGAAATGCAAAATAGAGACAGTAAACAGAGATATGACGCAAAGAGAACAGTGATATCAATGTAGTTTTATTGAAATTTATAAGTGACAAGGAGAGGATGCATCTGCACCAGCCACTGAGAACGATTTTGAGCCAGTCATATCACCAATTGCCTTTAGCCATTTGTGTTTACCGTCGTGAGGACTTCAACAGAAAGTCTACATCTTCCTACGTGGTTGTCTTAAACTAAATATTGTGGATTTCATTGACCGATGAAGTCATGTTTTGGTTTGATCGCAGCTGGCTGTTTTCCAGCCTGACCCTAGGTCAGCTTGCATTGCCCAACGAGGAAGGCGATGGCTATGCATGTATACGTAGCACATGTCCTAGCCATCTCAATTGATGTAGCTTCATAGCGTCATCGATTGGTTTTCCCTCCTTACCACTACTATTCCAAAACCGAGAAAGACACAGAATACCACCTGAGAAGGCAAAGAACTATTTCTCTAGGAAAAAGTTTACTAACTGAGAACAGAAATTATGATGGACTACATGCCTACTTCACATTACCACTAAATTACACGTTTACGATATGAAAATTATGATGCGACTAGATAGCCTGCAGCAAGACATGACGTTTAAACTAGGGGTTAGGATTGAATGTCTGATTGACAGATCAAGTTGGGAATACTGACGCATAATATTTCCACCTTCTGTCCTAACACTCTGAAAAGTATACAGATGAAAGCTTTCGGCTGGTTTTAAATATAAATGACATTTCTTATCGAATAAAGAGGGTGAGGATAAAATTAGTCTCGTGTTTTGAGGCATAATTTAGGTGAACAGCACGATGAATACCCCACCTATGTTATGCGTGTAAACACTATGAGATTACTTCTATCCTCACTCGATAAAGATATATTCCTATACATCAATATTATCACTTCCAATATAAATATGAAGATGTGATTTTAGATTAGATCGTTTTTAGTCGTATGTTAGCTGAATATTTACCATATGATGGTTAATGGTTGCTAACACTGGAATCCAGGATGCTGATTTCGTCTAATCTTGGACTCGTCACCGGATGTACCTCCATTCCCAGTGAGGCTCAAATCTAGCATCTGTCGCTTCAAGCACCAAAGCGTTATTCACTGGGTCAGCGGATGTATAACGAGTATCACTTCTTGCTTGATTCCACTCCTCCTTATCACCAACCAAACAATATCATGCCAACAGTCAGATATCATTGAAGCATCCATTCTAGAATCTGAAATGTCAACAGGCAGCTATTATTATTTCAGTTTAACTAATCTATTGGAAAATTCAAGTCAATTCAAACAAATCAACCTGAATGCTCCAATTCCAATCCTCAGTGTATGAATACACCAAATGATGATATCTTTGTTAGGTAGCAGTTTGTATGTACTGCAGTGATTGCATATTCTGGAGGTGGTTAACAGTGATTCAAATCACCGACGCATTAAATGAATCCTGTTAGGTTTAAAGCAAAGGGCAGTTAATGTCACATTTTTAGTCCTCATACTAGTACCCACTTTGTAAAATGTTGACTGTCTCTTCGTATTCAACTGTTGAAGTACTAGTTTTTAGCATTGTATCAGTTCAGAAACGATAAAGGGATCATGAATTGATGGATCTTATTGGGACCGTTATTTAATCTGCTAACTGATTTCAAGTTGCAATTTGTCAGTTAAGATGATTCCTAAAAAGTGAGTCCCCTGTTTCGTGATTTGGGTCTATTAGAATTCGATCAATATTGCAATATAATTCTACCACAAAACACGCAATTACACTTTTGATAGTACACTGAGATAACAATTTGATGAGCACCCATCACTGTTTGTAACCATATATGACAGAGCATGGTGACTTTCTCATACACGCTGGCATATTCAGTCGGAAATGTGAACAATTTAGACTGCAGCCTTTGATGGATGACTAATCCAAATCACTAGTTCTTATCTGCACTATATAGTCACCTAAGTTTGCTGACATCAGGATGGGGTTGTTGGACCGCAAGATTTGACGGTAACATGTGTTGGCCTTTCTGCTGAATACCAATACCTGATAAATTCTCATTGGTACACGAGCTTGGTCCTTTGTCGATGCACGCGAAGCTCAACAATTTCGGCGTTGTGGTGTCTGACATTTCTTCTTCGAACAACACTGATCCAGAGACTGCCTTTGCCAGCAACAGCGACAAAGGTCATCCACCAGATATCACCGCGGATACACGTCTCTATCAGAGTCCCGATTTGTCTCTCACGCTCATGCACCTAACCACCGAAAGTTTACCAGTTTCCATGTGAAGAATAAAAGCCTGGAGAAAGCACCAATGGAAAAGTATGATGCGAACCATACACGACGTTTTGATATCTCTCGAAGTTGAGGCACCTGTATTTGCTACAAAGTACAGATCAGCATGTAATAATTAGCTGGGAGTGACTATGAACTGGAGTGATAACGTCATTTAATGGTATTGCAGTTGCACATAAGACAAGAATCGGCTATGAACAAAACATTCAGCAAGTCCCCACTAGATACCACTGAGATACCGCGGGAGGAATAAGCGTGTTGAGAACGAAATGACATGAAAAGCTATCAGGTTAAGTATTCCATTATTCCTTATGTACTAATTTGAATCAAGTTTTCCCGAAGGATTATTAGCATGATATGATTCAGTTTTTCCAATGACAGTACTAGCCACATTGGCATTAAATGTCGTCCCAAGAATTCGAGTAACTACACGTATACCTCCAAAGCCTCAGGATGGTCGGGGATGGGTGCCTTGCGCTGCGGGTTGGCCACCCCTCCGTACACCTCTTGAAATGCTCCCATATGACCGGGCGTCTTACATAGCCTCTCCTGAGGAAGTCCTACTCACTGCCTTCACGTGGCAGAGGTGTTTGTCACCGAAGTGAGAGGGCAAAAGCGGATGCCCGATGCTCTTCACCGGGTTGACTGTCCACTGGATGACAGTCTAGGGGGGATGGCTAAACCCTGATTCCAAACCTCCAACGGCTGGCGTATGAAGCTCACCGGCAGACGTATGGACAAAGGGCTTATTGGATGCCCTGGATGTCTGGCCCCATTCAAAAAGGCGTATGAACCGGACTCCGGCTGTCATGGATAGTGGACTCCCTACTCCACTCCTACTGCCTTGTAGGTCACACTTGGTTGTGTAAAGGCTAGAGCTGCACTCTCAAACAAAAGGCCGAGCGATTCTGGGGACATCACTCGTACCTAATTCCCATGAAACTTCATGAATATGAAGCCGGCTCATCCTCCCGTAGATAGCCGAAGTAAAGTAAGTATACCTATACAACAATCACTTACACCACACCTATTCTTAGATTTTCCAGGCGACGAAAATGCATAACAGATTACGAAAAAGAGCTTTCTTCTGCCTCTCAGAAAAAGTTCGGAACTCATTCTATTCGCACACAAACGTATAGTTTCATAAGAATATATGACAAGAGACGTAATGGAATAGATCCGTCAACAAAACCTAGATGGCACTATCTCTAATGTCAACCACTACCTCACGTTCTGCTTAAATATTTGCCCTTTCTATTGAGATTCGACAAAGTTTCTTCTCTACAATTAAAGAAGCTTTGAGGAAATAGACTTTTCAAGAATAATTTACGTTCAAAATGTCATCTGGCTAATAAAAAGTATTTCACTGTGCAATCGAAATAATAGCACAGAACACACATACGAATACAACTCCCAACCTCTGAATATAGGAATTACCTTTCAGTGACAAAAAACCGATTCACCTATTCTAGTTGTTGCCAATGTCTTGTATCAACTATATCGGTGACTTTGATTTCTAGAATACTATTGCTAGGTAAGCTAATTTCAGTACGTATTGAACCCTGGGTCATAAGGGTCTACAGAAGCCTAAGTTTACATTAAAACCTTCATCTACAACAGAAATATAAAGCGTCTGCATGAGAAAGTCGGAGCAGATTGTAGAAGTATACAGACACCTGCCAATGATGATAATATGGTTCCACAATTAGTAGTATCAACAGATTTGTAGCGGTAAATAATTCCCCAAAATTATTGACCATAGGAATCATCAGTGAACATTGGATGCTGACCCTTAGAGTTTAAGTCGACTTGTTTAGCTGAAGGCTTTCGGTCAAGCATCCCCACCATTTGGTACTCCATCGTGTCACGTTCGTGCACGATCACTAGCCAGCTAAGCGTTCATCTAACAACTCGTTTTGGTCCCGAAATATATTTCGTAATTTGAACGATCAAATAGTGTCTTTTGCTTTGCCTTTGGTCCACGAGAAACGAATACTTTAGAAGCTGTTGGTATAAGATCTTCCGTTAGTATACCCCGTACAATTCGCGAACGTCTATGCCGTCAGCCTCTAAAGATTAATTGACATGTGAAATGGTCTAAAATTAACACTATCTATCAGACAGGAGAACATAACATGCAGACAAACAGGACAAATTCAGCGTCTGTCATTTATGTGTAAGTAACAAAAGTGATGCGAATATTAAAAGACAATTAAAAATAGTCTAAAGGATTTATATATTATAGAAATATGCCAAGTGCTGAAAACGTGTCATTCATTCATCTGTACAATAACAGTTTATTTTCGACTGAATAATGTTTAGAATACAATTTATTGTTCATAATTATCACATATCATCATCATTTATTTGTTTCACTCCTTGGAATCCCTGGTAGAATCATATTTCCAAACGCAGATTCTTGAAAGACATAAAAGCCAGGAAATTTATCTGGATCCATCTGAAACATTAGCTGAGAAAAAGAAATAATGCTAAATTACCTGTACAGGCCTGATACTGTTTATATAATAGCTACATGGCACACTAGATGAACAAGAAGAAAATGCTGGCACCTACTTTGCACTTCCACTAGGTTTTCGTTCCTCTAGTGTATCCAGTGACTTTCGGTTTCGTTTACCTGAAAACAAAAAATAGTGTAAACAATACGAATTAATGACAACTAACAAACTGAGAAATAAACATTGACTATTTCAGAAAAGTATAAGAGGATATATTCAGTAATGAATGGATGCAAATTTTCCCACATCTTTCATCTTAAATAGTTCTAACATAAACAGTTTCCTATCTACAAATTCTAGTAGTCCTTATCGATGTAGCTTGAACTAAATCTTACTACTAAACACTAAACTGTTTAATCCAATTTCATACGTGACGACCATTTGTGTGAGTGGCTGGTTTCAACATAAAACTTTGCACCGATGTGCAGCAGTTCAAGTCGCCACACTCTATGTAGCACATAAAGCAAGAGAAGAAAGTAAAAAGAAATGCGAAATACAGACAGCAAACAAAGATATGAGGCAAAAAAACAGTAATATTGGAGAACAGTATAGTTTTATTGGATATTGTAAATCACAAGGAGTGGATGCATCTGCGCCAGCCATTGAGAATGATTTTGAGCCTGCCACATTCACCAATTGTCTCCAGCCATTTGTGTTTACCGTCCCGAGGACCTCAACCAGAAAGTCTACATCTTCCTACGTGGCTGGCTTAAACTGACTGTTGCGAATTTCATTGACTGATGAAGCCATGTTTTGATTTGACCACCGCTGGCTCTTTTCCAACCTGACCCTATATCGGCTAGCATTGCCGGTCGAGGAAGGCAATAATTAGGTATGCGTAACACATGTCCTAACCATCCTAAGCTTGGATGTCAAAGGTAAGGTTTACAATGCTTCGGTGAGTGCTGTCTTGCTTCACGCCTGTGAAACCTGGCCTCTCCGAGCTGAGGATGTGCGGCGACTCTGCGTACTTGATCATCGCTGTCTCCGTAGGACTGTTTGTCTTCGATGGTATCATCTCATAAGTAATTCTGAGGTCCAGAGGCGTGTGTGTGGACACAGTCGATATCTGTGTTAGGCTAACATCAGTTGGTGCGTCACGACTACCTGGTTGGAGTCCAAGAGAATCGGTGGCTCGAAACGCTATCGGATATGGCCAAGAATCGCAACAAATTGTGAAGGTATTGCAGTTCCCTTCTTTCTTCCCTCTCTGACAATAATTAACGAATGATGTTTAAACTTGTTAAATATAACTGCTTCCCTCACAGATGAAGTACTCTACCCGTCATGTACCCATGTTTTTACTTTTTACCTCATATTTGGTTCATTATTATTGTTTGTTAGTTAGTTAGTTTACTTCGGCTATCTCCTACGGGAGGATGAGCCGGCTTCATGAACGTCTCGAATCATCGCTGCCCAGGCGCGGCAATTTGTAAGAGTTCATGAAGTTTCATGGGAATTTGGTACGAGTGATGTCCTCAGAATCGCTCGGCCTTTGTTTGAGAGTGCAGCTCTAGCCTTTACACAACCAAGTGTGACCTACAAGGCAGTAGGAGTGGAGTAAGGAGTCCACTATCCATTGGCAGCCGATGACCGGAGTTCGGTTCATACGCCTTTATTATTGTTTGGCGCGTCGGAGGCACAGCGGTTATGACTCTCGGTGACCATGCATATGGCCCGGGGTTCGACCCCCTGCCGACGCACACCTGATATCTATGGTCAGCATGCAAAATTTGGGCTACCGATATCACATGCTGAAAATTCCATACCTGTACCAGCTGGCGACAGTTAGGCTATTTCTTGTATTCATACAAATATTGCATCATAAGTCACCCTGTTACAGCTGATGCAACCTCTCAAACAATCGAAGTGGCCAAAATCGTCCACTACTTTACTTCCCGATCTAAGTGAGTGCAGACCATTACTGTAGCATCACCCCAAATATGACAGGAGCAAGACACATTTCAAATACACTCAGGTTTATGCTCACAGTTCAGCAGACTGCATCTTACAAGTATTTTCAACTAGCAAGTCTATATCATCTGAGAAATATAATGCCAGGGGAGTCGGATTTACACAAACTCAGCTGCATCAGCGTGTATGTAATAAAACTAAATAAGAACAAAGATTATCTCTTTGGATAACCACTCTCCACTGATTATAACGTGACTGGACGTATTCAAGTGGACTGCTTTGGTTAGAATAATATACTTTCTCAAGACTCGTTTCACAGTCAAGCATTGCTAAGAAATACCTCGACAGATAGTAAGCTAAGAAATATAGCAAATGTCTGAAATCAGTTATTAAACTTATCAAAGAGTGAGGGTGTGACTGGTATTTCACCAATCGAACGAATGATCTGCTTGGTTTCCATATGTTCGGTTCCCTCCAGAAATGGACCTCGATGATATTACAACACTTATCTGTATAGGTCCACCTTCTTGACATAACTTCACTTCTCAATTAAAACACTTCTCATAGAAATCAAGTTACGTCAACAGAGTGATTTGAACCACTACATCCTGTGATATATTTGGAGATAGAAAAAGGAAATAAGTTATTCCACTTTGGACACTTGGAGACTAATAGAAGAGAGAAGGATAGTGAAATAAAAGATTATCCAGTGCACTGACGAGCAACAAAAACAGGAGTTGAATTCAAGCTACAATACACTGAACAAAAGAGTAAAGAAGAGTGCCAGGGAAGACAAAAGAAAATATTATGAAACAACGGCAAGTGAAGCGGAACAAGCTGCAGGCAAAAGAGACCTCGCCACACTCTACCAAACAACTAGGCACCTATCGGGAAAACGTTCGACACAGATTAAGCCACTAAAGGATGAGAATGGAAAATCAATCACCAAAGAGGTGGAACAAAGAAAACACTGAGCTGAACACTTCAAAAGACTTCTAAATCGACCGCCACCTACAACGCGCCCAACAATACCAACAAGCAGAACTACCCGCGAACACCCACTCCAGACGAGAACAGAAGTTTTGAAGGCAATCAAGATGCTAAAAACAGGAAAAGCAGCAGGACCAGATGGAATCCCAGCAAAAGCATTGAAAATGGACCTAGAGACAACAGCGGACTTGATGACGCCATTGCTGTAGAAGGTGTAGAAAGTGGGCAAAGTACCCGAGGATTGGAAGAAAGGATACTTATTCAAACTACCAAAGAAAGGAGACTTAAGTCAATGCAAAGACTGGCGCGGAATTATGCTCCTGTCCGTCCCAAGCAAAATACTCAGCTGCATCATCCTGAAGAGAATCAAACAAGCCCTAGATGAAAAAATTTGACCGGAACAAGCTGGATTCAGGAGAAACAAGTCAGGTATTGATCAAATCGCCAATCTACGCATCATCATTGAACAAAGCTTACAATGGCAGCGCAGCGTCGATCGAGAGGTGATTTGGAAACTACTTCGCTACTATGGGGTGCCATCGACAATTATACATCTCATCCAACAGTTATACGACAATGCTGCATGCCAAGTAATCCACAATGGGCAACTTACGGAAGCCTTTGAAGTGAGGACGGGAGTGAGACAAGGCTGTCTACTATCACCAATGATTTTCCTGATTGCAGTAGATTGGATAATGCGACAGACAATGGACAATGAGGAAACAGGCATAAAATGGACTCACACAAAAAACTTGGAGGATCTGGACTTCGCCGATGATATAAGCCTGATTTCCCACAAACTAGAAGATATGCAAGTGAAAAGCAACAAGCTGGTAGAAAAAGCATCAAAGATAGGACTTCAAGTGAACATAGATAAAACAGAGGTGATGACGATTCCTGGCCAACACAAACAGCAACAACAACAACAGACAACAATCAGCCAGCATAAATGGGAGGAACCTGAAAGAAACAACCTCCTTTACCTACCGACCTGGGAAGCGTCGTTTCAACTACAGGCGGACAGAACTGACGACGATATCAAAGCAAGAATTGGAAAAGCAAGACAGGCTTTCATTACTCTTAAGTCTGTGTGAAAGTCAACAGCACTCAGCATCAAAAATAAGATCCGGATTTTCAACTCCGATGTAAAGTCAGTGCTTCTATACGGATCAGAGACTTGGCGAGTCATCAGGAGCATCTCAAACAAACTTCAGACCTTCATCAACAGTTGTCTTCGCTCAATACTCAAGATCAGAAGGCCGGCCAGAAAAGATCAGCAACAGGGATCTCTGGGAGCGAACCAATCAGGAACCGATTGTGAAACAAATAAGCAGGAAGAAATGGAGATGGATTGGCCACACCCTGAGGAAACCATCAAGTGACATCACTAGACAAGCCATTGCTCGAGTGGAACCCGAATGGGAAACGGCGAGTTGGTCGTCCAAGGGTGACTTGGAGGAGGTCATGTGAGGAGATGAAAGCATGTGGACAGACTTGGAGCGGAGTGAAAAAGTTGGCAGAAAACCGAAGGCAATGGAGGTGCGCAGCTGAAGCCCTATGTTTCTCTAGGAACTAAAGGATATAATAATAATACTTTATTTTTCACAAACTATTTTCCTCTTTCCATTGTGATCCTAACATGGCAGACCTGGGAGCAATATTATCGATCAACCTGCCTGAATCACTGATATTTGATAAACTATATATATATATATATATATATCTTTGGCGAAGTTAGTGTCATAGCCACAGTCAACGCTTTTCAAACGTTGATCTTCAAGAACCGATCAGACAGGGGGAATGCTATGAAGTATCATCCCAAATCAAATCATCCCTGCCTTTATGGACTTGAAGAGGATAGATACAGAATTCTACTTATTTAATGGGTACTTTTCTGCAGATCTATACTGTTAGTTGGGTTATGGCTTTTAAGATTAGAGTTTAGTATCTAGGCTTAAGGTTAGGATTAAACATAGGATTAGAAGTCAGGATTATGGTTAGAGTTAGGAGTAGCATGAAGAATAGTGTCAGAAATATCAGTAGGTCTACAGTGACCTACAGGAATCTGGATGAATGACTTTGTTGTACATTGTACGATTTCTCTACAGATCATCTGTGTATTGACTGAGAGACATTCTTACAACAAATAAGATGCAACTATGCCAGTGTAGCATCACGCTTGCAATAGCTTTTAGTATACTTTTCAACGATTATACTTTTTGGTTGTTCAAAGTCACTGTGGTTTTGGCTATGATAGTTTAACTTTGCCATATATCTAAATCATATTTAGAAATGTGAAATACATTTAAGGCAAAAAACTTGTGGAAGTTTACTGTCTAGATTTAGAGGAAATATTCCTTCATATATGTGATAAAATTCCCCGAATTCACATTATAGAAGTAAGCGAAGTTAAGCTCATAAGTCGAGATTTTGTTTAAACAAAGAATTAAAAGCGGTGATATGCACGAATCAAGTCAACAGACTATGAAACAAAATTACTATACATGTGTTCATACGCACTATTGTGTGTGTCCGTTGAGAACATGGATAGAACGAATAAGAGTGGATAACAACATGCGTAGAAAGGAAAAAATGAGTAATGAAAGTCAACAAACATTACCCATATGTATTTCTCGAATGAGTACACAATAAAAATGACCAGCATGATCGATGTGATTGAGTAGTTCTGCCAAAGTAGATGGCAAATATTTCTAAAACGCTTGGTAACATGACACTGAGTTAAAAGCGTAAGACATTTTATTAAACCTGCGGCAAGTACCAGTCTTAACAACATACCATTGTCATTTATTTCCATGATGACCTTTGATTTATATTTTTGCCGGCTTTCAATATCCAATGTCGTTTTTACCAGCTAGTATAAATCAATTCGATTTCTTTGTGCTGGCCTCTTGATTGTGAGGTATAGGTTCCTGATCTGCGATAAATTTCTGCTTAGCTCGTCCCGCCACTCGGCTGTCATAGCTTTGGTTGACTCAAAAAAGAGTAGTGCTGGGATTAATTATATTTGGTTTGTAGTATATCCAATATCGTGTGTCAAGACTGTTACTACTGTGAATGGAGTTGATCCTTTCACCAGTTAGTCCCCCAGTATCGTTGCCAAAAGAAAAGATAATAATAGTGGATTTGGTTAGTGAAGTTATTCAGACTAACAGACAGAAAAAGAAATGAGAAAACGTAACAACACTCAGTTGATTAAATAATAATAATAATAATAATATATATTCTCATTTTTTACATGAGGGACGCCAGTTTACAGGCATCATCAATTCGATAATTTACACATAATATTAATAAGCATATTTAGTAAAGATAATATAACAAAGTACATTTTTTTCCCTAGCTATGTAGGGTACACCAATTGTATAGGCATGCATAAATATTGTTTTAATAATAATAATATATTCCTTCCTGTTTATGCAGGAACATACCTATTGTACAGGCATGGATAAGTTATTATATAAATTACACATAATTTGATGTATAATGGATTTACAGTTTGGTTGTTCTTTCCGACATCAAAGTCAGTCGGAACAGTCTGCTATAAAGTCTGTTTGTGTAGCACATAAAGAGATATAGAAATATTGTCTTCGCATTAACAAAAAACCCAGACATCACATGAATGTAATACAGATATCTGGGAAAAATAAAGCTTGAAGTCAATTCTCTTATATAACTTTGTTGTGAACAGCACCCATGGCTTGAAGTTTATTGATGTATTATGTTGAGATCAGTGATATATTTATTACATTTTTGCAGCAGTCTTATCGTAGTTTCATAACAGGAAAGAAATTTGATCGTGGAGGCGAAAATTAGATAAGGTCATGTCGGGTTGTTTTACTGCATCAAATGGTCCCGAGGTCGATTCCAGAATTCTCCATTTGCGCCATTTGTGTCTGCATGGCGGACTGTACTCGTAAGTTGAGCAAAATGTTGTAAACCAGTTGCTTCTTTATTTCAGATCATGAATTCTCATTTACATCGTGTCCGCCACCTTTTTTAAATGGTAGAATTGGATCGTTCCTGGAATTTGAGTGATTATGGGATAAATGGTTTGGAATTAATTTTTGATTCAGCAACCAGTGAATTTTTTATTCTTTTCGATCTAGTACCAGAATAACTGCGAACCATTCCATTCAATATGTCGAGTAAGGCACGCAGGAGGAGATCATTACCATGGAATGAGTCAACTTGATCTGAGATGCAGCTTTCAGCATGTCTTCGTTATATCATAGATATCCAGGTTTATTTGCGCTGTATAGGCAGTGATTTGGATTATGACGTATTCTACAAAGTCTCCGTGCCCATTTGAAGTATACATGTGCTTTGAAAGGATTATTTTGTTGGCTCCTACCCCCACTGAGTGTTAACAACAGCTGCTGTGGGTTTATGTATTTCCTCGCCTTTTTGGATAAAGAAGAATAATATAAAAAGTATATATATCGGCCATAAAGATAATAAATAATGATAGGTGTAGGTAAAGTTGTCAGAAGAGTGAGACGGGAGAGAATGTTAAGAATTAAAACGACGGGTTTAGTTGTCTATCCCTGAGTGGTGTACCAAATTTTTTTCACGAGCTTGCGAAATTGTGACACATCTCATTTTATTTTTTAAAAAGCACCGAATCTCTCAGAATTATTATATAACGACTCAAATAATTGTATTCACTACTAATGCAACCATAGATAAATCCATCACAGTATATCCGGAACCGTTGCAGCTCTGCTCTATGCATTTAGGGCAGATGAACAGGTGAACAGGAATCATACGCTTTTGCCCGGGTAGTGGCACAGCTGGAAGTGGCTGCACTGAGCTACTGCAACCAGAATATACATTCGGTCTTTGGTCATTTCTAAACGTCGCGATTAGGTCACTCCTTTGACTGCAGTTTCAAGAGAAGAAATGGTTTAGATTTCGGATTTCAGATTTAATGGTTGAAGATGGGTGGCTTGGAGCCTATGTTAATCCTTTTTTAATAAATTTCCATTGTTGTCCAAACCTTTCCTGAATGAATCACTTGAAGTTACAGACTTTACTTCTTCTGGAATCCGGTTCCAAGAGTTTATAGCTTGTTGTGAGAACCAGTACTCAACAGCTATATGATGTTTCTTGCCTTTGAACTCTCCTGGTATGTTCTCTAAGGTGTTCCGACCTAATGGGAAGGAGAAGAGAGAATAGGTCAGGTCCGTAGTGATTACTTCCTTCCTTTGAACCCTTTCTAGAATGTGTGAGTCTCCTTTAAGATAAGGACTGGCTGCCTTGATAGAGCTTTCTAGTCTTGACCCCACCAGATATGTATATAAGGAGGTGAACATATCTCTGATGATTCTAGTAAAGGCCCTGCAAATTGCCCATAAGGACCTGAAACTACGTGCAGCCACCGCGCGACAATGTGCTAACTATGACGCCTCAGTCCAAGTAAGTATGAGCCGATGGGAGTGTTATTCCCTCTAGTTCTTAGGAGCTCGTGCTTGCTTGTTCCGTGCGCATGGTTGTACATTTTGCAACATTGATTGGAAGCATCCATTCTATGGATCACTCTCACAATTTGCTGAGGTCCTCTTGTAACGTGGCATATTCCTGTTGCCCTTCAGCTCTCTTCAAATTTTTACTCATTCGCGTATAGGACCGTAGGGGAGTCGGTGAGCAGAGATAACTCATTGATATACGGAATAAACAGGAGAGGTCCGAGTACAGTGCCTTGTGGCACTCCGCTACGCACTGCGGTCCAAGAGGAGAGTTTTGAATTGACTCTAATCCTGTGCCTCTTATCTATCAGGAATTCCCTGAGCCAGTTTAGTAATTTGCTTTTGATGCCAAGACCTTCTAACTTCATGAGTAGTCTTTTGAGAGGTACTTTATCAAAGGCTTTACTGAAATCTATGAAGACGACGTCAACTGGTCTTCTGTTGTCCCTTGACTTGACACAGCTTTCTCTTGCGCTTAAAAGATTTGATGGGCATGAGAGGTTTCTTCGGAAGCCGTGCTGTGCTGTCGATAACATTTTGTTGTTTTCCAGATATGCCATGATTCTTTTCTTGATGTTTCTTTCCAGTGTCTTGATTCAAGTGCTGGTGAAACTAACAGGCCTATAATTTGAAGGGCTTTATCTTGATTCCCCTTTATGGATGAGGGGTTACTATGACATCTTTCTAGTCACGCGGTAACACTCCATTTAGGAGAGAGAGCTTGAAGATCTTGGTCAAAGGGCCGGCTATGTGAGCTGATAACTCCTTCAGAAGTTTCGGACGAAGATTATCAGGACCTATTGATTTCCCTGCATCTACTTTCATCAGTCACTTGAGCACGACGCCTTGGTCGATGTCAACGGAATCTATCCCATGTTCCTCTGATTCAGCCAGAGCCGATCCTATGGGAAGTGATGACTCCTGTGAGAAGACTTGGGGAAGTAGTCTGCCATTGCTTCTGCTTCTTATTGATCTTCTTCGATTGTGTCATTGCCAATAATCAGGTTTGGGACAACATTGAATGTTTTATTCATGAAGTTCATGTACGAGAAAATTTTTTCAGGTTGTTCCTCTCCATTTTGAGCCAGGTGCGCTTCAAACTTCATCCTTGATTGGCAGATTAACTTTATTCCTAGCAGTGTTATATAATTTCCTGGTCTCAGGAGTCTCAAGTGTGGCAAACAGGTTCCAAAACTTGTGTTTACGCCTGAGTAACTTACTGATCACTTGGTTTATCCAAAGGGAGCAATGTTTCCGACCCTTTGGGACAGACCAAGGGATAAAAGGTTCAGTTACTTGGGCGTAAAGTTGTTTAAATTGGTTCCATGTGGCTTCTACTTGGGACTCTGGGATGAAGTACCAGTTTACTGATTTGGTTGCTGAGACGATTGCACTTATATCCCCTTTCCAAACGTTTGGTCGGGCTAAGGTTTTGGTCCTTTCCGCTGTTGCTGTGAACTTGAAAGTGGGCACGACATGATCACTTCTTCCTAAAGGAGGCAAATTTTGTGTGAAATCCACATCCTAACTGTGGGAGAACGATAGGACCAGGGTTGAAGAGGAGCGCCGTGAGTCATAGCACGTGGGCTTAATGACATGTCGGACTAGGGCTAGCGATATACTAGATTCCAGCAGTTTACGATCAAAGTAGTTGACTGAAGATGGAGTTGTGAGGCTGGTCCAGTCAACTGTTGGGGCACTGAAGTCGCCGACTACGAGAATTCGACATTTCGAAGTCCAGGAACCAAGCTTCTCTATGAGGAAGTCATCTACACTGCAGTCAAGTCTACGGTACATAGCGATGAGGTCGATTTCTTGGCCTATGTATTGCAGTCTGCAGCGTAGAAGTTCGCACAACTCACATGAGGTGGTTGCTTACGCCAACTTCTTCGCGGTTCAGTCGGTCCGACCTATGCACTTCGAATGTTGGCAGGTTAACTTCGATGTCTGTGACATCGGGTGTGAGCCATGTCTCTGTCACGATATTACCATCCGGATATTCGGAGTCTTTCAGAATAACCAGCTGTCAGCCACGTCTCATAAACCGTTAATGCCCAGCTCTTGCTACGCTCGGGCCCACGCTGTTCCTTGCAGTTTTTCAGAAACGCTTAGTTATAACGGACGAAAAATCCAAAACACCGATTGGCCGCTTGAGAATTCTTTATTGTTACACCAACATATAAAAATAATAATTGAACTAAGGTCTGTGAACAAATATTACAATAATAAATCACAATATTACTTCTGACGATGTTTTACCCTTTTTTCTGAACAGCGACCGATGAGACGATGACTGTCGTATTGATGCCTCCGCGAAAATTGGGGAAGTTGATTTTGAGCAAACAACCAAGAATTGATCGTTCAATCTTCAACTCCATTGACACCAGCTCATTCCGTTTGTTCGACAGGCTGCGGGCGCTTGTGCAGCAAACTGCCAATTCAGTTTGGTGCTTCTTCGACCTACCTACAGAGGTTTCAGGATCATCAA